GTGGATGGATAAGAGACCTGTGTTAATCCACAAGGAAAATAAATTCCTGCAGCTGGCTGTATACCACGTATCACAAAAAAGAGGTTAAATCTTTGTAAGTGGGTATATTTAAAAAACCTTAAAGGGCTACATCAAATTAACACGAACGTTTTTGGAATAATAATTCCATCATCAGGTTAAAAGCCTAAAATAAGTATGAACCATTTAATTAAAGCAAACGTGGTTGAAATTTTGACTAAGGTTAAAAAAGCAAAATGGTTATACTTACAGGTTAACATGCCTGAGCCACCAAAATATTAGGGTAAAAACCCTTTAAAGTAAATAAGGTTACCAAAGATTGTACATATTGTTGTTAAAAATTATTGATGTTTAATATTTTATTATATTTTACTTCAGGTAACATACACCCATGCCTTACGTGAGTACCAGCGTCCGGAGAGTAGACCTCTTCAAACGGACTTCAGCTGGTAACTGATTGACAAGATACCTATGAACGGTGTCGAAAACAAAATGTCAATGTACCATGAAACAGTGTTAGTTATACATAATATTACTACAGCCAAACGATTCAAAAACTTTGTGATGTTAAAAATGATAACAGCAATCCAGGTGTTGGGATTTAAAAAGTTTTTTAATTATTGAATTTTGGATATAAAAGATGTGAAATTACCGATGGAGTTAAAGGTCATGTTTAAGAGAATGACGTATGCATTAGGCAGCCTATGTTACTCTTTGTCGTATGGAGTGTGGTCTAAAAAGTGTAATATGTGACTGAGTGTGGTCTAAAAAGTGTAATTTGTGACTGATTAGCTTAGATATATGATATTGTCCTTTATGTTGAACACATCTATTTTTTACCTTGTCCTAGATCTGTCCGAGACAGTTTTGTTCCAGATTATTTGTTAAATAAAAAATAAGAGTTTATTAAAATCACTAGTAGTATATGTATACCCAATTTTTTGTACCAGCGAATGGTTTTTCTTTCGCAAGGATAGTATGATAAAATTTGATCTTTGCGAACCACTTATATTTTTATTATATTCGGCGATTGGAACAGGTTTTAGTTTTTTTTTTCGTTTGTACTCACATTCTACCATAACATTGCTGAACTCAGGGAATATATATATTACCTCCTTAAAAAGTATTCAAGTTCTGCTTCTGTTAACTTTTTAGGTTTTTTTATGGATATTTTTTTACGTTTTGGCTGAGAACAACCTGGCTCTGCGTTCTCCAGCATTGCAATAGTCAAACACGCGTTAGAATAAAAGGAAACAACAAAAGCGACAACTGTGACGTAACTTTCGTTACCTGATGCTACTCTTAGATATGTATCTAATATCTTAGAAAATATACTATAAATAGAATTCATGTTTAAAGTGCTGTTAGTACCGAGGAATGAACGGCCTGGACGCGGATCTGCGCCTTACGCAATGAACCTGTTAAAAAAATTTAAACCATTTTTCGGCTGAGCGACCTCTTGAACCTTACTTTGGGGTTTCTAATAAAGCGATTATGCAAAAAAAATCTCATGGGAATATTTGTCTAAATTAAAATAATGAATGTAGAAATAGTTTTTTACGCAATCGAACGTAGTGCTGCCAATTGAATTATTTCCATCATCATTTTTGGCTCTACAACCCTGTGTGAGTCTTGGCCTGTTCAAGAATTAGTCTCCATTCCCCCTATCTTTCGCCCTGGCTTTCCAATTTCTGACCCCTAGATTCCTCAAGTCATCTTCGACTTGAGTTTTAAATCTAGATCTTGGCCTGCCTCTCTTCCTGGTTCCTACTGGCTCTTGATATAATATCTGTCTTTGGGGGTCTCCAGTGTCCATTATTTCAAGGTGTCCTAGCCACCTTAGTCTATTCATTTTAATAGACCGGACGATGTTGCATTTTTCATAGCATTGATAGAACTCAAAATTGTAGCGCCTACGCCATATCCCGCTTTCTTGTACTTCTTCGTATATGTGCCTAAGTATTCTTCTTTCAAAGCGGCCTAACAGTTCTTCGTCGCTTTTTACCATAGTCCATGTCTCTGACGCGTATGTCAGGACAGGTTTAATAAGAGTTTCATATATTAGTATCTTGGTTTTTCTGCTAATTATGTGTGATGTTAAGAACTGCTTTAGTCCAAAGTAAGCTCTGTTCGCCAGGAATATTCTTCTCTTAATTTCTACCCTTACTAGGTTGCTGTTATTTAGTTGTGTTCCAAGATATATAAACTCCGAGACCCCTTCGAATGTGTGTGGTTGTGTCACCAGATATGTGGTGCCGCTATTTGTGTGCTGTTCGTGACCTTCATGTATTTTGTTTTGGATACGTTGACCTGCAGTCCCATTGTGTTCGCGGCTTTTTCTAATCTTTCAAAAGCCTATATCAGGTTTCTTTTTGTCCGTGTTACTATGTTAATGTTAAACAATAGACACGATAGACTGTCTCCCTGGCGTAATCCAGTATGTGTTTGAAAAGACTTTGACACTCTGTTTTGTACCTTGACTTTGCACTCAACTTTCGAAAGAGTTGTTTTTACCAATGTTATTAGATGCGACGGAATATCTAGTTCTGCCATGGCATTATAAAGTGTGCTTCTGTCTACACTGTCATAAGCGCTTTTAAAATCTATGAAGAGGTGGTGGGTATCAATTCCATATTCATATGTATTTTCTAAGGTTTGTCTGAGAAGGAAAATCTGATCAATTATTGACCTTTCTTTTCGGAATCTACATTGGTATTTGCCCATTTTTCCTCAGTATATACTAGTAAACGATCATAAAATATATGAGCCAGTACTTTGTAAGCGCCATATTTAAGACGGTAATGCCTCGATAGTTGTCACATATTAGTGGATCTCCTTTCTTGTGAATAGGTATTATAAAACCTACATTCCAACTGTCTGGGAGTTTTTCTTCTCTCCAAATGGATTCAACAAGTTTTATTATGTATTTTTTAGAGCGTTTGCTCCATACTTGAACAGCTCAGGGTGTATATCATCTTCTCTAGGGGATTTGTTGTTTTTTAACCTTTTTATTGTCTTGGCAACTTCTTCTGTTGGTATATTATTTTTCTCCCCCTCATCGTCTACGTCTCCACTGTGGTCATTTATGTCAGTCATTTCTCGGTTGCCAATATTTAATTTCTCAGCAAAATTTTCCGCCCATCTGGATTATTGTAGATTGTGTATTTTGCAGTGTGAGTAACTGTCTTGTTACTAAGTAAAGTCGATTTCATTTTCTTAACAAAGAATCGCTTATTACATATAGGTATATCCAAACGACTTCAGTACCATCATGTTGGCTTTACAACCCTGTGTGGGTCCTAGCCTCCCCAAGAATTTTTTACAGTCGTCCCTATCCATCGCCTTCCTCTGCCAAGCACGTATTTCCATATTTCTCATATCTTGGTCTATGTTATCTAGGAATCTTGTTCTGGGCCTTCCTCTTCTTCTTTGACCAATAGGTCTATCAAGGAGCGTTTTTCTAGCTGGGTTGGTTTGCTCCATCCGCATTACATGTCAGACGTCATATCTTAATGTGTTTTACGATATCTGGTTCCTGATATATTCTATAGAGTTCGAAGTTGTATCGTCTTCTCCAGACACCATTTTCATTTACCGCTCCATAGATTCGCCTTAGTATTTTTCTTTCGAAACATCCTAACATGTTTTCATTGCTTTTTGTTAAAGTCCAGGTTTCTGAACCATATGTTAGGACTGGGCGTATTATTGTTTTGTAGAGTTTTACTTTTGTATTTCTTGATATAACTGTAGATTTAAAAAGGAGATTAAGCCCAAAATAGCATCTATTAGCCGTGCAAATTCTGCGGTTTATCTCTGCGGTAGTGTCATTTTCAGTATTGACGAGCGTTCCCAGGTATACAAATTCGTTAACTGCTTCGATGACGTCGTTTTCTATAACAAGTGGCCGTAGTATTTGTGGTTGCGTACCTATTTTCATGTATTTCGTTTTATTGGTGTTTATTATTAAACCCATTTTTGTAGCCGCTTCCTTTAGTGCTACGTACGCCTCTCGTGCTGCGTTTTCCGTTCTCCCAACAATATCGATATCATCAGCATATGCTAGGATTTGCACAGATTTGTTATATATTGAACCGGTAGTTGTGATTTGTGACGTACGTATTACTTTTTCCAGAGCTAGATTGAATAGTATACAGGAGAGTGGGTCTCCCTGACGTAGCCCGTTATTTGTTTTAAAAGGTTCAGAGAGTTCCCCTGGATTCGTACTCTGCATTCAACTTTTTCAAGGGTTAGTTTGTTTAGACTTACCAACTGATTTGGTACTCCTAGGTCTATCATTGCTCTAAACAATTCTCTTCTATTTACAGAGTCGTAGGCTGCCTTGTAGTCTATAAATATGTGGTGCGTGTCTACACCACATTTCAGTGTTTTCTCTAGAATTTGTCTCAGGGTTGAAATCTGATGAATTGTTGATTTGCCACCTCTGAAACCAGTATTGTCCTATTATTCGCTTTGCATATGGTGCCATGGCATAGTATAATTGGAGAATATTTTATACGCTGCATTTAGGAACGTAGTTCCTCGATCTCCTTCGGTACCTCAGATGAAAAAAAATTGGTGATACATAGGACCGAGAGGTGCCACGATGACTTAAGCTTCGAAGGGGCAGGTGTATGAATATCAAACAGGTAATTTGTTTTTTTCTACAACCCAAAAGAAGAGTTTAAAGATTCATTGTTTTGTAATAAAAGTTCATTATATAAACAAATAATGTTAATTACTAATGCAGTGTTTAATTATATATTCCAATGCCAACTTAAAAACAAATAAAATGTGTTTGACCTGTTCTTATTAGCCGACTAGACAGGTTCAAACATCTCATGGCACGCTCGAAGTTGTTAGTATTTCAAAAATATCATCTCCACCCACGACAACAACAATAATCTGGCAACTACGCCGGGCGACAGATCAGTTGTAATCCGCGCTGTGCTTGCGATTCGGCGATTTTCAGTTATTCTGTATTCAGTCGGTCGAATACAGCCAGGTAGGCAACTACGCGTGACGATATCGAGACGCGCGCCGTGTCGTATTCGTACGATCGTGAAAAATTCAAAAACTTTCGAAAAAAGCGTTCGTGGTGGCAGTTGTTTTTGACTACAAAAGTCAGTAGGTAATCGCACCGGCCATGTGTCTCAAAGTTTATAATTATATGGCCATTTTGTTGGTGGTGTGTTTGAGTGTAGTGATTGCGAAAAATGTGGATAATTTACGAGCTAAAAGAACTGTGGATGAGGGTAGTTGCAACCACGTTGGGCAGTTCTTTAGTTTGAAGAATATTACTGTCTCGAACGTGTCTTCAAAAGGTATGTACCGACTCCTTACAAATAATAATATTATTTCTCAGACATTATTACGTTTTATTCTATTAATAATAGTGTTATTACAACGTCGAAACATTGCTAAGTAGATAAGGATGCATTTTTCTGTCATGGTGAACTGTTGTTTTCAATACTGATGGACTTACATGCGCTTTTTAGTTTTATAGACAGTTTATCAATTAACATTCATTAAAACAAAGTTTATACCAATTGTAGATACATGATTTGTTTACAAAATGGTCTATATATTCGTAATCATTACATACACAAACACAATCTTTTGGTTGTGATGTAGGTAGAAGTTTAAGTCAAAGAATTTTTAAATACCTGATACTGGTTTTTTTATATATATAGGGCCGAGCAGACATCAGACACACAGTCTGCCAAGTATCAGGGACGACCTAGGACAATAGTAGTATTAAATTTGACGTGATTAGGTATATTAGGCATAAATTTTATTATAACATAGGGTAAAACACCCAGTAGTCAGCCTTTTAGTGAGAATCTTAATTTGTTTCAATTGCATATAAAAAATAAAGGCGTTAAATAAAAACAAATATTTTTATCAGAAACTTAAAAAAAAAGTTTATTAAATTATTATTAAAGTGTCTTAAATTATCGAAAGAGATTAACTATATGTTATTATTATGTTATAATTGAGGTGGTCGACGTGAGAAGGGCATATAGGCTTATGTGCCCTTTTTACGCAGATTGGCTATTTAGATCCACCATGTTTTCCTCTTTACAATGGTATAATTTTCATGTACTTATCTTTAAAAATGAGATTGGTGGAACTGTTTGAATATTAGTGTGCAGGATGTTTTTTCATTTATAAACGATTTCTGCAGGTGTTTTGTATAGGAGGGCTATTTATCGCTTCTCATTTGTTTCGATCACTTGTCATGTGTCATATAATAATATATTATAGTGAGGTTAAAGTATCGGTGTTGTTATTCTGATAAGTTTTACAGTAGCGCACCTAGAATTATCCTCTGGAAGGGGGGTTTGGTTGGGCACCGAAATTTTTTTAAGCTACCTCCACCATTTAAGTCCTTAAAATTTGTAAATTACAGTGTCGGAATAGGGTCCTCGGGGGGTGACCCCCAAAACCCCCCCTGGGTGCGCCACTGAAGTTTTATTCTATTATATTATTACATCGAGTTTTATTCTAATAAGGACTATGATACGTAATGAAGAATATAGTGATTACGAAGATGTTCAAGAAGTTAATAGTTCTGATGGGAAGAGGAAAAGAAAAGTGATCCATAAACAGAAAAATAAGAAACAAGAAACCAATAAATTAAGGCGTGTTCAAGGTGAAGAATACGTATCTGTGTCAGGAAAGAAGGTTATTTCCAAGTCATCCAATTTAGTTACTGACTGCTGCCAGAACAAATGCCACGAAAATATGCTTCTTGATTTTCAAGTAGAGCTTTTTGATTGCTTTTACAACTGCCAGAACAAAAGTCTTCAAGATAGCCAGTTGTCTACCTAGCTGTATGGACCTGGCTAAAGATCCCAAAAGTAAAAGGAAATCTCTTAACCCAAAAAAAACCAAGAGATCACACCTGGTCCTATCGTATGTCTGTAAGAGGAAACACTGTTTTGGTGTGTCGCAAGTTTATTTTGGACTTGTTTCAAATTTTAATAAAATGCATACGGATTATTCAAAAAAAGATCTTGTTGGGAGATTCATTTAAAGAAAAAAGAGGAAAACATTTGAATAGGCCCACAACCTTTCAGATGACGTTGTTGTGTTAATGGGGGATCACTTGGCTAGTATACCCCATTATTTTGACAACACTTTGTTAAATATAAAATCATTGTATGGGTTGTTTCAGGCCTTTTTCAAAGAAAGAAAAAAGGAAACTCTCAAGATGTCTTAAAATCAGTACTTTAAAACTAAGTTTTTCTATTCTGTTCGCAAACCTAAAACAGATATATGCGATTATTGCCAAGAATGTAAGATCAAGCTAAATATCAATGATAAAGACCCATGTATGCCTTTGAAATCCACAAAAGGAAAGCAACTAAAAGAAGAGAACTGCGTGATATGTATATTGCTAAATCCAAAGAAGAAAATTCCTCGCATCTGGTTTTGGAGTTCGACTGTTCTCAAAATTTCCCAATAACAAAGCTAAATGTCAATACCCAATTTTACAAAAGAATGTTTTGGTTGTACTGTTTTAACATTCATGTTTTTAACGACGACTCTAGTTATTGCTATACATTTACTGAGTGTGATGGAAAGAAGAATCCTAATTCTGTGGTATCTTTTTTATTGGATTGTATTAAAATACAGATAAGTAAATTTTCTACTAGGTAAAGAAATAATAAATAAGACTTACTCACAATCAATTTAATTTAACTATCAGACGACCGGTTTCGCTTTCTACAATATGCAAAGCATCTTCAGGTCTCGATACAAAGTTAAATAAATGCTGAAATGATAAAAACCCATATTAGGGTGTTGTCTAATAAAGATAAACAAAGTAGATGTTGGAAATTACAATAATTATGCCAATATTATATGTCTGTAGTTTTATTTCAAAAAGAGTAAGTTATATAAAAAGGTATAAAAAGTTTTAAAAGTTTAAACAGACAAGGTAAGGCCCACAAATTGTTATAGAATAGTCTATTAGATTGTAATAAATTAATAAATGAGCAAATAAATAAACATTACTTACATGCCGGTACTCTATTAATTGATGGATGGTAGAACATGGTTGAAACTACTATGTATTGTTGAGTTCTCCATTCAGCCTCTTTTTCTTGGCCTTTTACGATTTTGTAGACATTCTTGTATCCTCTAGGTACAATAACTTTTCCTGATTTGGGACATATGTAGAAACTGGTTTCATCACCATTAAAATACGATCTGGGTCAGTCAAAATATCAGTATAGTGTATAGCAAGTGTGGCTTATTTTTTGTAGTTATATGCTAAAACAAACTTCTTAATACTTAATACTAAGCAGTGATACTGTAATGCTTAGTTTAATTCGATAAATACATGCTTAGAAATATATTTTTCATCAATATTGACTATATGTGCATTTTCAAGTGTCAACGTATATAAACAATTTTGTGTATTATCACTAGGTAGATAAGATTACTTTTTTATAGTAGATCCCCCAAAAAGCATGGTCAAGTGGTAACAGATAGATAATACAGTTTATGTTATTATATATATATATATATATATATATATATATATATATATATATATATATATATATATATATATATATATATATATATAAACAGATTGAACGAATTTAAAACGGATCATACAATTTAATATATGTCTGTTTGAACTGCATTTGAAATAGTGGACCAATATAAAACTTAGACAAAAATAAATCCATACCTGGGTTTAGACATTGTATAAAATATCGTTCAACTATCTTTCTCGCAACAATGTTGTTTGCGTAACAATGTTGCCAATCGCCGTGTAATAATCCGATTTGCGGATATTTTTGAGAGTTATATCTTCTTCGTATCTTTTAATAAATCGGGTATTTGCCTATATTTTTCATTGTATTTACCAATCTACTACAACAGACTAATAACAAAAATAAACTTAATGGTTTGTAGTTATTTTCTTTTTTTCTTGTAAATATTTTATGGATAACACCTTATTTGAGAAACATCTAAAGGAATGAGGTTGGCAACACCGCTCAAAAAAGGGCTTGTCTAAAGAAGCGATAACTGGTTTGACAGCATAATAAAATCGTAGATTTATGTGTAGCTTTCAATTTTTATGATTTTAGAATCCAGCAGCTCGCTGAAGTATTGGATTTTTATAATATAATTATTTGACAACCTTTTGTTGGCCAACCACCTACAGCAAAATTGAGCCGAAATACATAATATTTCGTATGTTCCGAATTTATTTCGTTCAATCTGTATATATATATATATATATATATATATATATATATATATATACATATGAAACTTAGAGCTAAGATTAAGATTATTACTAAAATTAATATCAAACTCACCAGTCTTCCGGGTTGAACCGCGTCGATATCCATTTTGCCGAGCTTTCGGCATCCTCTCTGATGCCTTCCTCAGGGCTTCCGAGGTCTCAGTCTCCCGAGCCCCCAGACACTACTACACTGTTCACTGATCACTGCACTCTCACTACTGTACAGTCTTTAACAGTCTTTTAGTTTTCTCAGATTGTTTATCGGTGTTTTAGCAGTTGTTTACTTTTTTAACTTTATTTATTTTGTATCTTACACTAATTGAAGTTAATTGTCATGATATTTAGAAAATGGAATAAACACCTCATCCGGCTCCTACAAATAATGGCGAATACTACCCAAAAAATTATGTGTTTTAAAAGACTTTTTTTACAAACTACTTAACATTTAAATAGAATTGTGTTATAAAATCATTACCGAACATGTATAAAAATTTGAGGTTATAGGTACTGAATTTTCTGAAAAAGAAAAGGTAAAAAGACTTATTTTATGAAGTAGATGAGATATTATATATCACGTATAATATAATGAAACTTATATTACCTATTCACGATTGATTACCTTGATTAGTAGATTTGTAGTTATCTAAAGTTACATAATGAGTATAAGTTGCTATGGTCTGTTTTTTAACCAGGAGGAGTAATTCAAATTTTCCGCGCCATAATGCTTGTTTGCAATTGGTCCAACCGCAGGCAAATTTACTCCACTAAATTATGACATATTGACACTAATGACATTTGTGAAATTTATTTATTATTATTATTTTCTCTAATATATAAACGATTTCTGACTCTTTAAGTTAAGTTGTTTGTAATAATTTGGACTTGCTGATATGCGAATAGTATTTAATGTGATATTTTCTAGATGATATTTATACTAAATATAGTTTAAAGTATTTATAAATGTATGTTATTTATATCTAATTATCATAAGAAAAACGGCAACTATCTTTTAAATTTAGTGTATACTTGTTAAGAAGCATTTCCATTTTGTTT